ATCTTTGGAACGCGGAATTTGAGCGCAGTTCTTGAGGTATTTTGATTTTGCGATATACCCTTCCTCCCTCCTCCTTCTCCGTACCAGACGATATGTTGCTTCATCCCCAGCTCGTGCTGATGACGATATGTGACTCCCTCATATTGTATAACGGATAAGCTAGTTGGTTTGTTCTTGTACGAACAGCGCTACGCCACGGACAAAGTAAGAGAAGACGGACAGACAACAGTTGTACTTTGGCTGTGTCGCAGCGCTGTTCGCACTTTTAGCCTCATATGGCTAAAAGTCCACCCGAGTCTGTCTCGAAGACAGCGGAGGTCAGCCGTGCCCGCTTCTCGAACGAGGCCGGCAGCGCGTGACGTCTGCCAATGGCGTCCTCGGGCGGCAGACTCGACCTCGACCTTGCGGGCCCCACCCATGTCTGAAGGGGAGACGCCGCTCTCGCTCTCTGGGTATCGATCGAGTGGACCACGTGACCGCACGAGCCGCCCGATGGAGGCCACAGTGCTGCGCGACAATGTCAATGTTGACGCGGAAAAACAGAACCCGGGAAAGACGCGTCGTTTGTGTTCCCGTTTGGCGAGGTACTGCAGCCTGTTCTCGGGTGCGTATACGGAATAGCCTGGGAAGGAAGTAAACGGGCCGATCTCGGCAACCTGACTGGCTCGATTTCGTGGACGTCACATCGCCTGGTTTACGGTGGGAGAGGGGGGGGGGGGTCTTAGGTAAGCACGCCTGAGTGATCCACGGGCTCCAGGCACGTGGATCACTCAGGCACGTAGCCAGGATTTTGATTCGTAGGCGGAGAGGTATTCAAAATCAAAATCCATGCCCGTAGCCAGGATTTTGATTCGGGGGCGGTGGGAGACCCCAGCAAGATGAAAGATTTCGGGGGAGGGGGGCAAGCCCCATGCCCCCCCCCCCCTCCTCTTTCTGCGTACGTGTCTAGTGGGACTCCAGATTTGCTTACTAGCGAGTGAGTAGCCAAAGTTCAGCCCCCCTCTCTGACCCCGCAAACCAGCAATCTGACGTTCGTGAAAATGCGCAACTCAGAGGTCCGAAATTGGCCCGTGACATCGCATGACATCATGGTCAGTGTCAAGTGTGATTGTGTGTAGCAGGTAGCAGAGTCGGGCACCGCCTCGGCTCTCGCCGAACACACAAAACCGCCAGCTGTCCCCTCGAAACGCAGTCAGACGGCGAGTGGCTGCGGCAGTAAATAATTTCTCGATAACAATCTCTACGGGTCTGGCAGTGCAGTTGAAATGGATGGAAGATCGGAATCATGAACGGCAGCAGAATTCTTTGAATCGGGCGGCGTCTTCCGCATCTAGCCATTGTGGTCATTTGTTGGGATTCAGCGAGCGCTCCAGTGGGGCAGTACTGCGCTTCCGTTCATCTTTCGAACGAGTGCGCGAATAATCAACGCAATGAACAGGTGGACAGCGTACGTGGACCTTGCACACATATAGCAGCGCCATCGGGCTCTCCAGTTGCTCTCGCCTTTAGACTTGCCCGTTTTGAAAACAAGGCGTTCCGATTACGGACGTCCTTTGCGGCCACCGAGCCGATATCCGTGTATGCGTTGCGGCCTCGACCGAGTCGCCGTTGAGAAGTCGACGCCTGTCGGATGGGCCGCCGCTGCCCAGCCAGGAGCTGTCCTTGATTTCCCGAGTCCCATTTCGCCCCTGCCGGTGCTCCAGACAGGTGCGCGACAAAGACCGTCGTTGCGCCGCGATTAGCGTGGCAACTGCCGCTGCCGCGCAGCCACGTCACAGCGTTAGCGGCGGTTGCTACACGGTACCCCCCGTGCGCGATTTTTCTCGCTCATCTGTCCGGGCCTTTACACCATTCTGCTGTGGACTGTGAGCAGGTGCGACGAAAAGGCGGCGGACAGAAACGTGTGCATCTCATCTGCGGTCGCTATTGGCGAGAAGATGGAAGGGGCGCTTTATTTCGCTCGTTTTCCCAGGGAGCCACAAAACCTGCCCTTTGTATTCCTGACGTCAGCTTCCTCGATCGAGCGACGGGCAGAGACTGGACGCAAGTTTTGCGTCAGCGTTTGACTGGGACTCCTCTCCAATCGCTGCTTCACTGATTGGACACGAGTCCAAGGAGAAAAGAGCCATGACCTCATCGTTGGTGGTCCCGGACTCGCCCCAAGCAGGCTTGACGAGAGTAGCCGCAAAGCGAGAGATGAGTCCGTGTGTGGCGTTGCCTCGTATGGTGACGTCACGGCTTCTCCTCTAGACGGTATTGACACGAGCCCCGGCCGAACGCTGCGTCAGAAACGAGCGAGTAATGGACGTCCTGACTCTAGTCCGGGGACTAGGCGTTTTTAAAAAAATGCAGTTTTACGCCGCGAGGGGCTATCTGCAGCTGCGCACTATGTACGCAAGGATTTCTCTTTCCTAGATTGTTCATTATCAAATCAAATCTTTATTTTCAGAAAACTGGAGGGATCGCCAGGACAAAAGGCTGTTAAACAACAGCTTGACTGGGTCTGGGATCCCTTTGCATTGGCAGCAGCTTTGACACTGAAAAACATATGTTATATATAACATATCTATGACGAGGCGGGACGGATTTCAGGAAAGACAGAGCATTGTTGTAATGATGATTCTGCACGATACAAGCTTCTTTGGGAACCAACAGAGCAGGCTTTTGTCAAAATGTGCGGCGTATCCTATTTTTTTTTTTTTTTATATATAGGTGAGGATATGGTTTTAGATGGGGACGATGCACCGGGTGCCGGCAATCCAAGAAAAAGCCTTTTCTTTTCAACCGAAATTTCCCCGCGCGGAGTAGAGTCAGCAACTACGGTAATGCTTGTATAACGTGTCGTTATTGAACGATATTATAGAAAGGACTGACCCACTTGACTGACGTCAAGTTGCGGGGCCCCGGTATGTGTGTCGTCATCTGTATTGTGCTACGTTGTGAAGGCTGACGTAGCTTGCGCAGTGATTCAAGTCTGTGGATGCGACATGCCCATCAACGCTTCGTTTAGCGTCGCTCGAGAAAGCGTGCGAGTAAGGCGCAAACCGAACTCTCGGGGAGGTGCGAAGCCGCTCTGGAAGCGACGCCGACCCTGACAACGTAGCACTAAAGAGTTGACGACGTGCACCACATTTACGCTTACCGCTACACTGTTCAATGGCATGACAACACTCACCGTGAAGCATGCATCTTTAGAACTGCGCAAAAAAAAAAAAAAAATCTTGCAGCTTCGATGGTATGTTTTGTGTTTCGACGGTTGCTCAGAGTTACCGACAGATCATGGACCTACTTCTCCCGGTTATTTCTATTAGAACTCTTGCCAGTGTTGCCCATTCGTGTAACGTCACGCATAGATATTCCACACTCTGAATTAGAACGCAGCAACACTCGAACGCGGTGCTCCGTCAGCGAAATTCTTCGTCGTTCTTGACGTGGGGTTCCGGTTGTTCTTAACCGAAAAGATATTCGCCCTCGGAGTTCAGTTGGGACTTTCGCCGAAGTCAGGCTGTCTCTTACGAATTTCAGTAGACCCTTTTTTTTTTCTTCAAGAATGCCTATAACCTATCGACCTTTTCCACAGACAGCCCGTTCTCATAGCGCCGTGACATCTCTTTTGCACACCGGGAAATCGAAAAGTATGAGGCTGAAGGCTGGTTCAGACGCTTGCGACTGCCTACGATTGAAGAGGCTTAAAAGTCGGTTTTAAGCCTCTCCGGTCCTACGCAGTCGCAAGTGTGGGATCCAGCCTCGAACGAGAATATTAGAACATTGGAGGCAATATATCTACCGATGTCTTGTTCAAAAAAAGAATTTGGGAAGGTTCACACAAGATAAACAACACCTCTAAGAATTTTTTTCTTTTATTGTCGCGTTGACAAAGTTAGCGAATTTGCATAAATTGGATTATAGCACCGGCACTGCGAGTAGGTCGTATTCCCTGGCCGCCCCAACTGAGCTCGCTGGTGCAGAGCACGTGCTGACGGCAAGCTTCCAGATCGCCTCTTCTACGCACATTATACGCACCATAAAGATTGTCTTTTTTGGGAGACCACAAATAAGAACTCGTGCAAAATAATTTGTTGGCCTAGTTGGTTAAGCCATAGCCTCCTCTATACTCACAAAGTCTGGCAGTTCGATGACGAAGCCATAGAGTGTCCGGTCGCAGATCTGGAGCGCGAGGATCTGGTAGAACAGAACATTTCTCGGAGAGTCTGGTGTTCAGCGCAAAGGTTTTGCTGCGGCGAAAACCCGAAACATGGTTTTCAAACCCGACGAGAAAAGAAGCGGTAGCCCGAGGAACGAACGAGCGGACATTCCATCGCTCGGGACAAGTATGTTTCGGCGTCTCGCCGCAGCGGGGCGCCTGTTATTTGACTCTTGTCTGCCGCTCTACCGTTTCACTTTGGGCGGCCGCGTCCCGTGGTGATCTGCCAGGCTTTGTCAGTGTAGAGTTAAACATTACGAAAATAGAAAGAGCGAAAGAAGACTACACAATACAAGCGTTTGTCCCGCATAGTCTTCCACTTGTCCAATTATCTTTCGAGCTTTCTATTTTCCTGGTAAGAACTGATCCCGGGCATGCGCTGTGAGCAGTCACCTCAAATATGACGTCCAGTGAATGCCACCTAAAGGCTACTTACTTCGGTGTGAACATTTTTATTTCACTCGCCGTTAATTACTTTTTTTTTTCTAAGTGCGAAAGCATTAATTGTTTCATGGAGCGAACCGGCGTTATCAGCTCTTGAAGCCGCGTCAAACGGCACCTAAACTGCCCTGCCCCATGGGACAGGAGAGTTTAGCATGGACTTCACTCCATGGGGCAGGAGCGAGGCCTGTAGTCGTTAGCAACGGAACGGAGCGGAGTCATCGGTGTTTTAAAAATTCCAGCAACCGTCTCAAGTGCGTTTTCTTCCGTATATATATATATATATATATATACATATATATATTCATATATATATTGTCGCCGTGGCGTTTAATCGGTGCCCGTTCCTTGGCAGGTTATGAGCATCTCTGACGGCTGCTATCTGGAGAGCAATCGGCGGCCATGGCGACCAGTGGAAGCAGCGGAAGCAGCGGCGGGGGAGGCGGTGGCAGCGCCGGCAAGGCTGCGGGCCTGGCCACGCCGGAGGCATCGGGAAGCAGCGAGACCCTCGAAGACGACCAGCCGCCACAGGGATCCGGTGAGTGGCTTAAAGGCCGACGCAATCATCTCCTGCCGGGCAGAAGTTCCTCCTCTCCTCCTCTCCCCGCAGGCGATTCTCCTCTCCCCGCAGAGATGGCGCTACCGGTCAGCGTGAGACCGGTGGCGCCATCTCTTTTAATTCAAAGAATACAACAAGCGGGTTTCCGAGAAAGGAGGAAGGCCTCCCTCTTTCTCGAAGGGAGAGTTCCCTCCTTTCCGGAGGAAATATCCGCCGATGGCATGGCCAAGATGGCCGCCTGTGCGCCTCCCGCGTCTTGCTGATTCACAGGGGGTTCGGCACGCGGTGGAGTGAACGACGTGAACGCACCGAGAAACATTCGGCCACGCCATAAACAATCGGTTCTCGAGGGGTCCGCTTCTTTGCGGGCTGCCGACACCGGTTCCCGTCGCGATCGAACGCTCTCACGTTCCCGAACACATTTCCTTCTGGCATACCCTGCGTAGAAAGCAATACGAGAACTGCATTTTGTACCTTCGCGAAACGAGAACGTACGCTTAAACATATAATTGAGGAAATTTTCAATACCTGAAGTAAATTCTGTTTTATCGCATTACTTTTAGTGTATTTCATACTAAGGTGTGCAAACCAAAACTAACTAATAATATACTAATCGTATACTAGAATAAACTTGAAAGAACTCGCTGATGGGAGGTGCACTGATTTGTGGTAGTGGGAGATGATGATATAGGGCTGCATGTACGCAGGTAAATAACAATTTCAATAAACGGCCCTACTATACTTTACAAGCTATAGCAGCTTACATCACGTAGAGTAGCTTCGTGGCAGTGAGAAGGACTTGAAAGCGTTCGCTCTTATTATTTAAACTGCAGGGCACAAGCGAAACTTCCTGCTTATTAGCCATGTTGAATAAACCTGAGACTTGAGCAGAAATGAACATATAAGTCGAAGGAACGTGAAAAGGACAGGACGACGTCTCAAACTCAGCTACCGTGTTTATTTAGTCCACCTTCTTATATAGCCCACAATCGGCCGCCACCAACACAAAGGGGTAACCTTTTGCCCCTTTGTGTTGGTGGTGGCTGATTGTGGGCTATGGAAGAAGGCGGACTAAATACACCTGGTAGCTGAGTTTGAGACGTCGTCTTCTCCTTTTCATGTTCCTTCGACTTATATGTTCATTTCTGCCCCAGTTTCAGGTTTATTCAACATGGTTAACATTCACCAGCTCGCCTGCACCCTCGCTATATTATTTCTATCTTATTAGCTTCGCGTTATTTTATATTTGCGACATACACACCGTAGTTGGAGCCCTTTTAACAACATTTCAATGTCCCATGAATCGTATCACGGCATCGTCTTCGTTGGCCCTTCAAGCGTGAGTGCGATTGTTGGCCGGTGTCAATGCATTCCTTTTCGGAGCAGCGAGGGAAAGCCTCAGCTACGCATCATTTGCTTTATATTATAAGTATTGTTTCTCTTTGCCCCTACCTGTTATATCATCAGATGATCCCAGCGCATATTTTTACTTAAAAATCTCGTCCATGTTTTTTTCTTTCTTTTCAAAACGAAACCGTATGCGCGTTCTTCACTGAATCACGCAACTTGGTAGTAAGAAACGGTTCTAAAAGTGACCACAAACGAGGAACTAGCTTTCAATCCTTACTTTTTTAAGCTTCAGAATGCATTTTAGCGTAATCCATGGTTGGGATGGGGGGGAGATCGGTGGCCGAGTGCGCACACTTAGAGTAACTGGATCGCGGGAGAGTAGCGACAAGCTCCCGGTGTGATCGCCGTTTTGGTTCGTGGAATGAGCAGTTTCTCCTTTATCTCTCCATTCCTGGTGAGCCGTTCTAAAATCGACGGGGTAGCTTTATAGAGGCGTTTCTGGTATAACGAGATTTTGCTATTCAAACACCGGCGAAACGAGCGTACATCCTCGTATACCGTCACCACGTGCGGCGTCGGTGCTTGGAGGCATCGGAAAATAATTATCCCGTCTTGAAATACATAAGGAGTGCAGTATCATCCTAATATACCTCTGGCGACAAGCATGATTGTTAAGATGATGGCATGCACGGTGCCCAAGTCGCTTGTGGCCAGGAACGCTTTATGCACGACGATGCAGCGATCTTGCCGCGACGGGTTCAAAACGATCCTTTCCAAGTTTCGGGTGGACCGAAATGGGGATTTCCACCGAAACTAAACCCGATGAGGAAGATACCACAGCTTCGCTTTGCAACCACCTTCGCAGCGTGGATTGGAGCCTTTTTTTTTTTTTTTTCCCGCTCCCCCTATATTCTTGTGTACCCAGGAATCCTGGTTTCAACCTGCACTCGTGCTCGTTTCGATCTGGATGAGCATCGAACCGGCGTCCGGTCGTCTATCCTATACCGCGTGGTGCACGTCAAAGACGCTGGCGCTGGCTAAATTGCTCATCTTCTGCCGAGACGCCAGAAACCCATTGAGGTTGACGAACTTCCGGCTGTATAAACAGAGATGAAAGGCATTTATTACTATTGAAGTCGGGATTTGTGTCCCCCGCCGTATTCTAGACTCCAGCAAAACGGACGCCGCCAAGCGGGAAAACCGGGAACCAGTCGGTCCAGGTCGCTCCGCGCCCCGCCGCGTCTCTGATGGCTTTCGCGGACACGTGCTGTCGGCGCGGGGGCGAGCAATGTAATTTGACGAAGGTCCGAAAATTTCTTAAGTTTGCCTGAGTGTTCATTAGTGTGGTGAAGCCTCAGTAGATTGTTTCTTTCCATCACGTGTTTGAAAGCCCGTTTACTCCACAACACACGGTCGCGTGCTTTCAATTTTTTGGATGAGGAGGAATCGCGGAAAAGCGTTTTGATTTCTCGTCTGTCTCGAATCACATTCAAAGTGACGACTGCTTGGTAACTGATAAGTGGTTTCTTTATAAGCATGTAGAACAGTGGACTGAGGTCGACAGACCAAGTGTTTCACTGGAGGGAACACCAATGTTGCAGTCAAGTGAATGGGAAGGTTCGATAGCTGCTTTCCTTGAGTTTGGTTGCGCTCGATTAGCTTCAAGTTAATTTGAGCCACTAACGCCGGCCGGTGCGTTGGCTATTCATCTTGGCGGCTTTTCGCCGAAAAAGACCACATTGAAGGAGTTGGGCTAATTTCGCAATTACTTGATTCAGAAAACCTGCTCGCTGCATGTGATTAATGAGGGAAATTATCTGCTTTCAAAAGGTGGGGGACGCGACTCGCAAAGTTAGAAGCTGTCACGTCATTAGGATCTATCGCGCCTCAAATATTTATATTATAACCCCTGTCGAAGCCAGCAGCAATATACGTCTACATTTCTCAGGTTGACCGGCCACAAAAAATACTCATTTTATCCGTTCAGGATTCGAAGTCAAGTTCAATGCCAGAGAGGTTCTGCGTGAATCTCCAATGAAGACTCTTTTCAGTTTGTCCGCACTTGTCTCCGTTCTACCGGCTAGAACCATTTGGCTAAGTTGAAGTAGTATCTCTCTGTCTGTCAAATATATTTTCATTCAGCAGTTCACCTAATAGTTAGTTAACTAAGTTCATATTTCAACCCGAAGAATACACTAATGTAGCTTTAGTGGGACATAGTACGTAATATAATACATAATCCGCATATTCGTCAAAATGACTTCTCGATTGCTACTAAAACCTGAATTGAAATACGAGTATCAGCTGCTTAGTCGCATGGTCGAGGCATGCGAGTTAGCTAAAAATTACTCTCGGTGAAACAATTTTGTTGCCCTCGCCGCTTTCCTTAGATGATCAAAACTAATTAGAGTCTATTACCGTTTCTCCGGAGCCCATAGTTTCGGTTTTGATCGAAGTCTCCGAAAGGAAAGTTTGACATGAAAAGAACAAAAAACACCGGCAAAACAAAACTATGCTCGGCAAACAAAAAACACCGGCTACTCTTAACTGTCTCAGTTCAAATACCCTTAAAATTGGGCATTCAACAAAAGAAAATTTGTTAAATTGAATGCGCCACCCATTCGGGCGGCGCGGCCGAGCCAACGCGACCTGGACTCAGCCGCCATGTTTGTTTGGTGGTGGCGCCCCCTATAGGTCGCTGGAGTCGCGAATAGCGTGGTGTCGACGTAGCCGTAAATTGTCGTCATCGGCGAAATTTAGCCGGACGCCACTGTCAGTCATCTCGTCTCGTGGTTGGTGGCACTAAAGGTCACGTGACCACGTGACGTGTGCAAAACCATGCCAGGTCATGTGACTCGCGGTGTCATGCGACGCTAGGGCTCGTGACGTCACGCGCACCAGATTTCTGTGTACATACATCTATATAGGGAATGCTTTTTTAGGCTTTGCAGACTTTTTTTTTAAGTCGTGAAAGTTACCTTTATGTTGTTTGTGCAGATGCGGCCAGGGGGCAATAATAGAGGGGGCTAATCGTCACGATCAGTCGGTGGAATATGTCCATATTATATCGCTAGGGCATTCCTCACGCGGGAGAACTATGCGCTGCCAGAAACGCCTCATGGACCGCGGTGTGTTACCGTCCTCCCTTCCACGCATCGAAGGTGGTCTCCAGGTGGCAATAAATTGCGTCACACGGACTGTCACTCTGTCGCGATCCTGTCGTTCGGCCGTGGAAATGCTGGCAAAAACTGGGAGCGGACGCGAGAATCGCCGGGGTGTCCCAACTGCATGGATGTTGTAAGCTTCGGTGAACTGGCTGACGCGACCTGGAGCAGAACAGGCGTCTGCCACATCCACCTACGCTGCTCTGGCACCGCCAGGATAGCGACAGCCAAGAGTACCACATGCGCTGGCTAAATTCCTCATATATATATATCAGGGTGTCGAACCGGAACCGAACCGAACCGAAAACCGGAACCGAACCGGTATTTTTTCCGGAACTGAACCCGAACCCGAATCGTTATATTGTTATCGCGATGAACCCGAACCGGAACTGAACCGGAAAAAAATAACGGTTACCGGCTCATGTCAAAACGGTTCGGCCACGCGCTGTTGACAATGAAGGTGCT